CTACACACTGAACACTGAGAGCTAGAGAATCCTTAACAGCTAACTCATCAGACCATTTGGAAAGTAGTCTGTTATCTTTAGGAATGAGAAGGTTCCTGGCCACCACCGCAGCGGTCATATCATTCTTCATCACAAAGTCCCCAATGGTAAGAGGACTAGTATGGGATAAGAAGGATGGGCGCCATATGTTGTCTTGAGAAGGCATGGCTGCCTCTTCACCAAAGTTCAAGTCAAAACGACGGTCAGATGCGCCAGACATTCTCAGAAATGATGAAGGAGAAATGAGGTGTAATAAATCTCTGAAGTACAAAAATAAGGGGGAAATTCCTGCAAGCAATAACTCTCTGAACGTATTTCTTGCACACAATTGGAGCCCCTATAAAAGAAAGGGCAACATGGCGTTGGTTCAAAAATCAAAGAGGCACCACTCTCTGGATTTCGAGAAGCAGATTTTCCTGAGTAAAATATGTCGACAATCCCTACACGTAACATCAGCTCCTCGGGTACCACAGATAACTTTGCCAAAGATCTCTGACAAAGTTTAGACACATAAATTTTGAAGGTCCAGCTACCTTACCATTACCCACAAGGGTAAAGGAACAACATCATTGCTTGATAACTGGAAAGTCCCTGTGTGTGTCAACCTCCGTGCTTCGTGGCAAGGCAGACTGGCAAAAATGCCCAACCTTTACTCACATTCGAGAAAACACTCCCAACAAGATTGCTTGCTCAAAAATCGAAGAGGCACCGCCCTCAGAATCTCAAGAGCCAGACTCCCAACAGGATTACTTTCTCAAAAGTCGAAGAGGCACAGCTCTCCGAATCTCGAAAGACAGACTCCCACATGATTGCTTTCTCAAAAATCGAAGAGACATCATTCTTCGAATCTCGAGAGCTAGGTCCCCGACAGGATTGCTTGTTCAAAAATCGAAGAGGCACCACTCTCTGAACTTCGAGAGCCAGATTTCCTTGGATAAAGCTTATCTGCATCTTCACACGCAACATCAGCTTTTCAAATACCACAGACCACTTTTTCAAAGTGCTCTGACAAAGTTAAAACATGTGAATCTTGCAGCTCCCATTACATTGCTATGACCGAGAAGGGTAAATGAACAGCGTTACCACTCGTTTTTGGGATAATTCATATATATGTCGACCTTCATCCTCCACAACCAGGCAGACCTGTAAATAAAAAAAATGCTCAACTTTTCTTCACATCCGAAAGGGCACTCTCAGCAGAGTCTCTCGAAATACTCAGTTTCTTTTCCCCCGATAATACCTCTGCAAACAAGCCACACCAGAGCAAGAGTATTTCATATCATCAAGGTTAAAAGCAAGAGTATCCCATATCATGTTTTTTCCCTGTCTTTTCCTTTGGCCTTGTTCTTACCTACAAGACAAGGAGAAAGAAAGTAATCAGTCAGCACTTGGAATCAAGCTTCCAGTCAAGAACTGACTGCCTGGAACCCCTTGCCTGATTGCTTACATGGCATTGCTCTCGAGTACTCATCTTCAACATCTTATGCTTCCAGAGAAGATACCACATCTGCCTATGGAACAAATAGGGCAAGTGAGAAGGATACAAGGAAGCATGTGGAGATAAGCGTAACAGAACACGTGCCAATACATCTACTACTTTGTCAACAACAAAAGTATCCCATATCATCAGGGTTGAACGTACTCTAGATTTGATGGACTTGTTTTGACCCTCAAATTCTTGAGTCGGCCTTATACTCCAGAGGAAACTAGAAAATAGAAAACCCTTCAGCCCAGTTCAAGAATAAGTCTGTGGAAAGTTACTTCTTTAAAAGCAAAAGTATCTCATATTATCTTTTCTCCATTTGCTTTTCCTTATCCTTGCTGCTGTTTATGACACAATGAGAAGGAGAACAATCAACCGGAAGCCGAAGTCGAACCTCCGATCTAGGTTGCTTGCTTGGAAGTCTGATTGCTTACCTTATCTGTTACCTCCTTCGGTAAATCTCCTAGCTCGGCGACTTGGGGTACTCCTACTATAGGGTTTGTATCGCACTTGACCAAGCCCGAAACTACAAGTAAGCTTCAAGTGAAATTGATACATTACCTTGTGCATCTTCATCGGTTAAAGATACCACCCCTGGATGGAGGAAAAGTACTTTCAGAGAAGATGCCACATCTACATATGAGACTGATAAGGCAAGTGAAAATGATATCACACTTCGGTACTTAGAAGTTTCGTGATTACTCAATGGCTTGGATCTTGCAAGTCCCCAACCGAGAAGCTTCCCTCACTCAGGAACTTAGGGGAGCACTGTTTGTACCATACTTGACCAATCCCGAAACTACTAAGCACCAGTCAACGTTATACCGTCAAGGACTCAGAAGAGTTTCCCTTCAACCAGGAGGCCAATCACATCACGACACGTGTCGACATTAGAAGCCAATCATAGCGCGACACATGTCAACATCAGAAGCCAATCACAACACAACATGTGTCAATGTCAGAATGAAACTAGAAACTCTCTTCTATAAATAGAGATCATTCTCTCACAATATTTCCTAATGTCATTTGTACTAAATCATTCATTAGTACTCACTAAAGGAAAGCTTGAACTTATGTACTTGTGTAAACCCTTCACAATTAATGAGAACTTCTCTACTCCGTGGACGTAGCCAATTTGGGTGAACCACGTACATCTTGTGTTTGCTTCCCTGTCCCTATCCATTTACATACTTATCCACACTAGTGACCAGAGCAATTTAGCGAATGTCACAAACTTAACACTTTCTGTTGTACCAAAGTCTTCACTGATTTTGTGCATCAACAAACTTCATGTACATATGTATAATATTTTGACACGAAGTTCAAAATATAAATAATGTTGCAAACTTGAAGTTCTAACACTTTGAGTGGACATATATTTATATGGAATGAATTCATTATCAAAAGTTCTCTCATACCCTTACTTTTTTTTTTGGAATAAGAAAATGGCGAACTTATCAAAACTCGATTTGGTTACTATCGAGATCTTGGGCATGTAATGCCTTTCATGGATTCCAAATGCCAAAGAATTCATATAATTAAGCGGATGATATTAGGAGAGACCTCGTAGGATGACTTGAGGCTCTCAATCATTGATTGTATAATTTGATTTTGACTTAAAAGCTCATTTGTACATTTTAGTCAAAATTAGAAGTTTTCATGATCAATATATCTATCAAGTTGAACCAGAAATTTCAAGCATATATAAATAAATGATAATAAGTTCAATAAAAGAGATGAAATTTTTCTATACATGTGCATGTACATGAGTTATAGCTACAATAATGGAGCTTTCACGAAGGTTGGTCGTGTAAAGCCCGAGTGTTTGACAAAACTCCTGGAGAGAGAGGGACCGAGTGCCTTCGGAATCTAGCCATGACCTCTGGTGGTCATTTTGAATCGACTTTGGGATTCTTGCAATTGGTCAAGCTTTCTTCTCATGTTAGCCAAGTAATTAGTTGCAAGTCTGTGCAACTCTTTATTCTCGTGCTTGGTTCCTCTAATCTCTTGTCTAAGACTCACCACTTCAGCGGTTAATGATTCAACTTGGCGAGTTCGAGCAAGTAGACTTTGGCTCATGTTGGATACATAACTCGCACATTGAACACTGAAAGCCAAAGAGTCTTGAACAACCAACTCATTAGACCTTTTTGACAATAACATGTGCTCAAAGCATTTGTCCATAAGTAATTCTTTGAAGTACACATAGAATCAGCTCTATTTAAATTCCTAAAGTACAATGTCTAAAGTGTAGAAAATCTCTGAAGGATTTAAAAGCAAGCCCTGGAAGGTTTATGGTAGAAGATCATTACTTGATATTAGATTGAGTTTCTTCCACGTCAAGTGGTGAGGAGTTTGGGAAGATAAAGTATTGAAAGACAAATATTGTCTCAAGCTGCATATTGAGCAATACGCCAATGTGATTCTTATCCATCAATAGGATTATGGATGAAGATCATTGGTTGAGCACACAAATGATTAACCAATATTTAGATACTAAGATCATTCATCATCGTAAGTTAAATGATGATCGATAGTTGGTCTAGAAGAACCTATCTTAGTGAAGTATGTGCCTTATTGTATTTGGCACAATACAATGTATCAGATATCACATTTTTTAAGAAATTATGGACACGTACTTGTTCTATTTTGATGAACTCACTAATAACCATGGTCTTAATAACCATGGTCTTATTGGGCTAAGAAAATTTTGAATCTCTGTCTAACGTGCATAAAGATTGCTCACATAAAGAATTAGTAATGGAAGCTTGAGAAACATGTTTAATGCTAATATGACACACAACCTTACCAACTATGTGTCAAAGTTTTCATTTCAGAAGTTCAAGAATTGCATCAACACATAGGCTTGATGACAAGCTAGTTAATCCAAGTTTATTGTAATCAGGGGAGGTGTCGATCAAGGGATCATCTAATTAAATCGATCAACTTACAGATTGAGAGTTCGCTTTGAAAGAATGTTACTTACAAGTTACAACCTCATGAGCAGAAAAATATAAAAATTAATATGTAAATGAAAAGAGGGGTTAATTTCATTTTTGTTCGTCAATTCATTCAAGGACCAAGGTGGATACAACAATCGGATTCATAAGTGACTTGGACTTCTACAACCATGTAAAATTTGTGTTGCAAAGTTAATGGACGAGATTACCACATTATTATGGCTAGTCGTGTAAGGCTTAGTTCACTCTCCCAACCTCTTAGTGTAGATAATATCGTTTCTTCAAAAAATAAAAAAGTTTAGGGATGCGATTGTGTTCTTGTGTCGCTAACGCCCAAGATTAATGGAACAAAATGGAGTAAAGAATTTGACAAATCACTAGCTTATTTATTACTTTTATCAAAGACGATATGATTCCGTCATGTTTCTATCAAATTTGATCTTTGTGGTTTTCTTTAATCCAAAAGTTCCAAGTCACAACCACTCAAAACACCACCAAAACCATAAGCACCCATACCGGAAGAAAATAGAGTCAGCCACGGCCAATACCATACGAAATGAAACAACCATGGCCAATAAAAACTGAGCTATTAGACCTTTCCAAGTATGGTACAGCCATTAGACCTTTCATGTTTAAGCCCCCAAACGGAGAGCGCTACATCGTGTCTAGTTATTACAATGCCTTCTCCAAGTTTGGACAAGGATGGTAAAACGCAAACACATACAAACAAAATGAAAATGGTCGCGGGGGTAGATAATCTTCGACAATCGGCTGAACACAGAAGTCAGTGTTTGATGGTAAGCTCCGCTCGAAGATGAAGGACGCCATTTATGAAGAAAGGACTATCCTCGGCCGTGAATGATGTCCATGGTATGGCAAATAAGTTACGGTACCCGACTGCCTTGCCCCCTGTAAATGTGTAGTTGCCTTTGTATTTGCTAATGAATTCCTCAGTCGGCTTTGATCTCGCTGCAAATTCGTAGTCCACTGCAAAACTCACTGACCCTTTTTCCTGCATCCCCAAAAACAGCCCAAAACAATGGAAAGAACTCTGCTGGTCCATGTTGCAATGCGCAGAGAGGAAGAACCCTTGCCCACCCAAGTGGAATGCCTGAGAATATACCCGTCCGGATGGGAATAAATTTGCACACTCCTCTCGCTTCAAGTCCAGGTACACCACACACTGCTGTCTGGGAAGATCAAATTCCACCACCTTAACAGGGCGATACTTGTATGCCCGCTCCACAAACCGACGATTCAAGGTAGCAGACTCTTCTGCTGCCAGAATTCGCTGCCTGTGCGGAGCCTCGGCCTTGAAGAAAAGAGACTCAAGGACAAGCTTGGATGCAGCTTCGTGGTCAAAATCATTACAGGTTAAGACCTTTTTCAGCTTTCGACAAGTCATGTATGGGAAGCGAATGTAGCGTGCAAGTCGAGCACCCAAGATTTCTCGCCTTTCCTCCAACTTAGGGTAGTGAGTCCTAGACCATTTCAACACAAAGTCATATACAGCATCCTCTGATGCAACCTGGAGTTCATCACTGGATATAATTGCCTCTATTCCAGCTAGGGGTAAGGCCATCACCTCTTCAAAAAACCTGGTTGAAAGAACCGACTGTAAGAAATATATCTCCTAAAATTTGAAACAACTTTAACGAACAAGAATTTAGTCAGATCAAGTCCAACTGCGAGTCACACGGAAATTTACTTGCTTATGTCCTTGTAACGGACAGCGAGGTACTGCTTTGCAGCATCAGTCAACGCCTGGACTGCTTCAGCCATTAAGACACTAGAAGGAAGCTCTAGATAAAGCAACGCAGATTCAGGTGTCATGGGCATATTCCTCAGTAGCCGGCTGCAATACCTCATGCATGAAGCTACCTCAAATTTGTCAGCAGCCATCAACACGTCCAGTAGAGCAGGAGCTGTGGTGGTGGATAAGGTATTGCTGTACATAAAATTTAGGAGCTCCATGAGGGCAGCTTCTTCTGCACTCGGCGAAACAAAACAATACTTGTCAGGTATCTTCTTCACGATCAAACTTGTAAACTAATAGTTTCCATGGAAGCAAACATTTCAGGAACAGTAAGCTTCTAATATTTTTTCTTACCAGACGCACTGATTCGCAAGGTTACATGTCGCTGTTCAGACTCCCTCATCCCATTTGAAAAGAGCTGCATAATAATACAAAAGGACAAAAATGAGAAAAACCATCCTCTGATGATAACAAGCTAAAAAAAAAAAGGAATATATAGAACCAGAGGACAATTACCTTATAGAAAAAAGGACTCTTGGCTGCCAAAATTGGAGAGCTAATGTGCAATGTTTTAACTCTCACAACTGTAGAACAATCCATTCCCCAGTCTGAGTCATTGCTGTTTGCAGCTTCATCCCCTATAAGAATATCCATTCAAGCTTAGAGCACTTAAAACACGACACCACTATAAAATTAGGAATTACAAAGCAGATCACTTAATACGACCATAAACATGACTCAAGGCAAGACAAGGATATGACATAATGAAGTTCTAAGGACTCATACTGATAGTATCAGGGTTTCACTCAGATAACATTATTCTCATAAATTTACACATTCTAACTCAGAACCCTCACAGACACAACAGATAAAAAGAATTATGTTTAAGCAGTAATTATTTTATTTATATGACTTCCTATAGAGCTCTAGGACACAGAGGAATATGCATATGGGACAGATCCAGATCCAGTAAAGCCATGATCTTATGTGCTTTGCTAACATCACTTAAGACACATTCAGATACCTGAAGGTGACTCTTCAACCATTGCAACTGGTTCCTCATCTTGATTTTCACAGCCCTCGCAATCATCCATATCAGGCTGGTTGTCATTCAAGATTTGCTCCTCGGGGCATTCGGCGAGATCCAGAACTGAACAAAATTTAAAACATTAACCAACATTACCATAACACCACATCATGTGCATGAATAAAATGTATGGGAAGTGAGAACCATGCATGTGACTGATGAATACCCAGATAACAGAAATCACAATCCCAAACAATCAAGGGAAAAACAAATCAACTGAGAAGCGGAACCAATCAAAAGTTGCCCAAATGATTACATTTGAATTTTAAGCACAATTATTAGGGGATAAGCAATATCAAAATACGAATTTCACTTCTATGATAAATAAACACCAAATTTCTAAGCTTTTCAGCTGAACAAGCAACAAACTGTTTCAAAGTAACCCCCAATTCGAAACCCTAAAACCCCAAATGTTCAAAGTTTCCCTAATTTCTCGGAAACCAAACAAAGCCCATAAAAATTCAAAATTCAAAACTCAAATTGAAAAATCAAAAGAGAACGTACTGTTTTCCTTCTTGATGTCTTCTCTCCGCCGCTTCCGGTGGAGGGCCCAATCAGCGATACTGGTGCAAGCCTCGGAATCGGGTCTGGACTCGGGTGTGTCACCCATGATCTCGATCCGAAGCTGTCGGTCGGAGAAGTTACTGTCGTTAAAGGCGAAGGCGAAATCGTCGCCGTCAGCGTCGGCCAACGGCGTCACGGCCCGCGAAAAGTCGGGTTCCATCAGCGTAGTTCTCGGGTCGAATAGATCCGTATTCAATTCCTTCATGATCCAACCCCCAAAAGCTAAAACCCCACAGAAGAAGACGACCCGATGAGGGTGTGAGAAGGCAGAATCTGGGAGGAAAGAGGGTGAGCAGAGAAATGGAATCAATGAGAAACGAAGAGGATCGATGAGGAGGAGATGAGGAGGGAGAGGGTCATAAAAGTCGTCATAATAAACCGAAGCGGCAGGCGACCCTTCTCTCTCTCTCTCTCTCTCTCTCTCTAAACTTTCCCTGTGTGTGTCTCTCTCTCTCTCTCTAAACTTTCCCTGTGTGTGTGTCTCTCTCTCCACCTCCTTTTGTGTGCTTCTTTGGTTTTGTTAGTTAGTGTTCACTGAAATTTCTCTCGTTTGGGTAGGAGTTGTGTCCGACTTGGATTTTATTGTGGAGATTTTGTTTTTAAGCAAGGTAAACATATGTAATTAGGGGTTGTGACAGGTCAATTAAGGTGGCCATAAATACAAACCCTTCAAAAAATTGTCCCAATTTTTGGGAACTTTCATAACCATTACTGCCTTATGTTGGGTACTAATTTCACTTTAATAACAAATTGGGTTTCTTTGGGTTCATTCCACACGGTTAAAATTTTGTTATGACCAAACTTGATGAGTGAAGATGCGAAAACCAAATTACATTCGGTGAATTAAGATGTTTAAATTCTTTAGCATGTTGTAAAAGGGGTTGGTACAATTTGCTCATGTTTGTACCGTGATACTGAGTGATGCAGGATTTTGTCCAAGTATAATGTGTATCATTTTTTTTATTTTAAAATTGGGATGAATTATAGGGATGGTAATATTATTATTACTCTCTTCAAAAAACAAAAAAAAATATTGTTGCCATATGAAGGTGATATGGCATTAATTAGGTTGTGGTGTGTAATTTTTTTTTTTTTTTTTTACTAACGATATTATGGGGAGGGGGTGGGTTGCCTTACAATGAGTTAATAGTAACATGGTTCAAATTTATTTTTGGCGAGAATCGAACCTAAGACCTCTCACTTATAGATGAAGAAAAATATCACTAGACCGTAGTACTAAGTGGCGGTTGTGGTGTGTAACTTTGATGTTTGAGATTTTCGGCCGGCAATTTTATCTTAGGGCATTTAGATTTGGGTCCAAAAAACCAACATGTTAATAGGTTAAGTCGAGTAATTTTTTTTTATATTTTATACTCATTTTATATTTTTGAAAAATATTACACATACTTCAGTTTCATGCACCTTCTAATTCCAATAAATCAATTTAATATCTTCTAACAAAAAACTACTATGCTAACATAAATCCTACAAAAAGTACAATCCTAGCTCAAGTAACAAATATATGAATGTATATTATGCTCATAAATAAGATATGAAACCTAACTAAAAGGTACAAAAACATAATATACTTACAATTAAGACACAATAATCTGTGATATAGTCTGATTATAAAATTTAAAAAAAATCTATAAATGAGGTTCAAAGTAGGAAGAAAGACAAAATAACAAAATGAAGAAGAAATAATTAAAGAGATAATTAAGAAAAAATTTTAGTTTTATAGTAAATTTTATCATTAAAGAGATTATTAATAATAAAATAATCCTAAATTAAAGGGATTGGCTCATAAAATTAGACTTATATCAAGTTTTACGTTTCATCTTTAAATGGTGAGGCTTTTTCTAGAAAGAAATTTGATATTTTAGACAGCTGAGAGTAATGGTATAGGGGTTATCTTCTTCTGTTAAACTTAGTTTTTTGTTTGCTAATGAACTGTAATTACCATTTTAAGGGGTTCTCTTCTGTAGAGGGGAAAAGGATAAAAGAGAATATTAGTTAAGTGACCAAAATCCAAAAAGGAATAGTAATATATTCTAAAGGATGGGTAGTATATCGGCTATAGTAGTTTAATTAAAGATTTCACAGATTTTTTTTTTATTGAGTACAACGATCTATTTTACATTAAGGAGAGGAGGAGTTCGGTCAAGCCACATAATGGGTAATCTAATTTGGTATCGAATTTTCCATGTACAATATTCGAACCTAAAACCTCTCACTTACAAATAAAGATAAATGCGTATAAGTGAATTTTACAGCTTAACTACTACTCACAATTAGTTGAATAAAAAAAATACAGACAAGTACTAAAGATGTTTAAACTGCAAGAAATCCAGACCATTTTTTGTGGTCCAATAATATTATTAGAGCAACTCCACCCTTGGAGCCCTCCCCCCTGGCAATTCACTATTGAATCCACCATATTGAACAGTAACTGCCTTTAATGAATAGTAACTGCCATTAATGAACAGTAATTACCTTTTGCATCTCCACCCTTGAAGCCCTCCCCCTGGCAATAGGTAATAAAATATTATTTTTTTTGTTTGTTTAAATAATATAAAATAGAAAAAACATGGAAATGGGGCTGCAGGCCCTCGGGCTGACACAAAAAAAATAAAAAAATGCCTGGCCCTCGGGCTGCAGGCCTGTCAATTACCCACCCCCCTTGTGCTCGGGCTCCCACCCTCACTTAGGCTCTCCAAGGCTGGAGGGTTGTCCACTGGGCCTCGGGCCCTTTCCTGGTGCCTGTCCCCCGAGCAATCCATAAGGGTGGAACTGCTCTTACAAACGTCAAGTAAAAAACTATCAACAGTACTCCAGCTAAATATTGTATATGTAGATTCATTTTCACCCAATCCCCAAAATGAAATATAAACAGTGACAACGAGTACTAAAAGTGGTGCTACTTGAGTAGTTTCCATTTACTTCGTGAAATGCTCTTAGGACTTGTTTAGTGACCATAATCAAAATAGGAAGAATTGAATTGGGGAGGAATCAGAATCAGATTCATGTTGAATCTGTTTACTTGAATGTTATGAAATCGGAATAAAAATAATATTGATTTCATTTGTGTAGTTTACTAATTCACATAAACCGGAATGAATATCAATGTGATGACTAAAATACCCTTATTTATATAATAATTAATTGGATTTTTTTTAAAGTAAATTAATTATATTATTATGACCAGGAACATGACAATATTGATTTTTAATAGACTTGATTTTGTTGGAACATTTATAAAATTTGTAATCTTTTGTTTATGGGCTGGTTAAAGAGGGAAGAAATTCGAAGATAACATAACCAACACAAGAGGTTCTATCATCCGTCAATCTGGAGTGATTTGCGTTGCAAAGTTTTTGTCACGATACCACATAACGTACTTTGGCATGTCAAGAGACAACAAATTGTGTGGAAAATGGAGCATCAATGAATCTCCTTTAACTAATAGTGGTCCAATAATTTCCTCTAACATTTACAAATCTAAAGTCAAATTCCAAGCCATGACTATTGTTGTGGCTAACAAAATATCATAATTTCATGCCATAATTCGTCAATAGCCAACTAAACCAATCAAATTTGTAATTGTAAACTTTTCCCGTCAATTCTTTTCATCAAACGAAAAAACAAAAAAAACAAAAAAACTCAGCTGGAAAATCATTTATATTAAATGAACTCAAATTTCATTCCACAATTTCATTCATCTCCATCCACCAATCTAATTACAACGGGCAAACCACAACCATAGTTTATAATTTCATTCCCCCTTTCAACAAATCATCATATCTTCCATAAATATTAACATTTCCAACCACATTTATCGTTGCCCATACATTTTAACATTTCTATCCACACTTATCATTAACAAGTGGAAATTATAATGAAGAAGTTATTAACGTCTAAAGTCAAAGATATATTGGTAATTTTAATTCCATTTAGAAGACTCTAAAAATCTGGAGCAATAAGTTGTGCCATGTGTGTGGCTGTGATGAAAGGAAAATAAATGATGGGCGGCTGAGATTGAAAGAAAAGAAAAGAAAGGAAGGGAAGGAAGAAGGAAGGAGGGGAAGGTGACCAATGGGAGAAAGGAAAGGAGGGAAAGGAGGAAAGGAAAAAAAAAGAGGGGGAAAACGGGTCATCCCTTGACCCGCGTGACCCGATGAGAAACATGGCCAAATTTGATCATTTTTCCGGAAAATGAAGGCAAACCACTACCTAGAAACAACTCCTTAGCATTCCCTCTTCCATTTACACCTAAAATTAGAAGAAATTTGGGTTTATTTTGGTGGGAAACACCTTAACGGGATTTTATGGGTGTCGGCGGGAATTCCGCTGTTTTTGCAGGTGATACCGTCCACCACCACCCTTGTTCAACTCCTCTTGAGGCCTGGAGCAATGCCCAAACAAGATTTGGGGCGGCAGAGCTACGATTTTGACGAATTGAGGAATATCCATTTCTAGGGTTTCCGGCGGTTCATGGGTTTTTCCGATCACTTCCCGCTCGAACTAGGCTTCGGCTTAGGTATGATAGTTATTCCTCGTATTAAGATATACTTTCTTGTAAAATTTGGTAATTTTTTAAAATAGTTGAAATTTTTAGATGAGCCGGGGCGGCGGGTGCAGCGAGTGTGGCGGGGCACGGTCAGGGAGCCGATATTGTGTTTTTATGTGAATTTTGTTATTCTAATTATGCTTTTGAGACTTAACTACTGTGGTTTGAATATTAATACAATTGTGGTATATGTTGGATTGAATGAATATATTCGGATTTGGTTTGAATTTTGGAAATGTGAACTACGAATGGCTTGATCCATGTTTAGGGTACGTAGGCAGTCTAACGAGATGTTAGATGCAACCATAAAACAAGTAAGATTAAATAATCAAGAATTAATTTATGTTAAGAAATTGAGTTATTAGAAGTAAATTTTGACTAAATAGAAAGCCTAGGCACATGTCTTATAAATTAATTATGTTTATGTTTATGTTTATTGAAATGGAGTTAAGGAATTTAAATAAAGAATCGTGATTTAAAATTTTGCGAAATAAAGCAAAGTTTTTAGGCTGTCACCAATATCATTTCCCAAAATTAATATTTTTGAGCCTGGGGCGTGACAAGTTTTTTTGTCTCGGCATGGTATTATTGATGCAGGGAGAAAAGAGATGGAGACGAAATGGTGCTGGGTAGTGGGAAGCGGTGGGCGGGGAAACTGTAACTTCAAAAATTATTTAAGGGCATAATGGGCAAGAAAAGTTGATTCCCTATCCGGGCTTCACCTGGAATTGAATTCCTAAATTTGTGTGAACTCTAGATATTTTTTATTCCCTAATATTTAGTAAATGCAAGAGTAATTCGTAATCGAAATCCAACTCTGCCATTTGATACGGCTACGTAAACATGCTATTTGTCACATTCTGGCCCGGGCTCGACTCCGCCGTAGCACGATATTGTCTGCTTTGGGCCCTGACCACGCCCTCACGGCTTTGTTTCTGGGAACTCACATGAGAACTACCCAGTGGGTCACCCATCCTGGCATTGCTCTCGCGCGAACTCGCTTAACTTCGGAGTTCCTACGGAATTCGAAGCTAGTGAGCTCCCAAAATGCCTCGTGGTAAAGGAGGTGGGTATGTACATATAAAGCATAGAGGATCCACTCTCTTGGGCGACGCGGGATCTAACACTATTAGAATTAAAAGTAAGTATGCTTTATGCATGCTAGGGTTTGGACTTGTGCTTTACGAGAGGCCATACATATTTTGTGGATTTAGTCACAACATTGTGCAAGTGTTCAAAGGTCGAATTAAGCCGTTCTCACTTCCGAATTCTAGTGATATGTAGATAAAGTCTTTGTTAGATCCTACATCGCCCGAGGGGAGTGGATCCTCTATGCCTTATATGTACATGCTCACCTTCTTTAGCATAAGGCCTTTTGGGAGTTCACTGGCTTTGGGTTCTGTAGGAACTCCGAAGTTAAGTGAGATCACAGCGAATGCAATTCTAGGATGGGTGATCCAATGAGAAGTTCTCGTGTGAGTTCCTAGAAACAAAACCGTGAGGGCGTGGTCGGGGCCCAAAGCGGATAATATTGTGCTACGGTAGAGTCGAGCCCGGTATGTGGTGGAGCCTGGGTCGGGATGTGACAATTTGGTATTAGATTCAATCCCTGGCTGGAAGTATGTCGACTAGGACGTCAGGCTTCTAAGGGGAATGGATTGTTAGATCTCATATCGCACAGGGGAGTGGATCCTCTATGCCTTATATGTACATGCTCATCTTCTTTAGCACGAGACCTTTTGGGAGCTCACTGACTTCGGGTTTCGTAGGAACTCCGAAGTTATGCGAGATTGCAGCGAGAGCAATCCCAAGATGGGTGATCCACTGAGAAGTTCTCGTGTAAATTTCTAGAAACAAAACTGTGATGGCATGGTCAGAGCCCAAAATGGACAATATCGTGCTATGGCAGAATCGAGCCCGTGATATGGTGGAGCCCGGGTCGGGATGTGACAGTGTGAAGTTGTACACGAAATGATAAAAATATGGTCTACATGCAATAGTTATAGAATAATTATGCACTTCAAAATTTTTGTTTAGAAAATAAAATATTTTAATGAAGAGTGCACAATTAAATTTAAGGTGTCGATAATAATTTTTATATTTTATTGTAATTTTTTAAAATTTTCTTGTCTTTATCACAGTGGTGGAAAGATGTTTAGTTCTTACATAACAGTGTGGATTCAAACCCATAACTAATCTAACATCTAATCTAACAAAATTTATTGTTTAACAATAAAAATAAAAATCTTCAATTGCTTAATTACCGTTGTTTAATGGGCGACCAACATTCGGTTTAGTTAGATGGCTGAAAGGATGCCACGAAACAGTGAATTGTTCTTTATTTAATATTCTATATTAATTTAAGAGGGGAAATGATTTGAATTTATAACTCAATGAGCTGAATATAAATGTTATAATACATTTACAATGAGAAAATTAAAAAAAGTGACCTTCACATAATTTTTTAACTTCTACCTTTTTTTATTTATGATTGTCGAATTGAATAAATAAATGATGTCAAAAATCAAAATTAAACATGAGTGCATAAAAAATTAGGGTAATGTTACTAAATTTACAAACTAAATTATGCGATCACTGATAGAAATGCACACGTTTATTAACACTTAAGCAATAAATCAATCATCAACTTCTATGTCTTTTAATTTTTAAAATTTAGTCTACAAATTGAATCTTTCTAGCATTACAAAAAAAATTAAAAATAATTTATGGTAATCATTTATCGAGAATAAATTAGTTACAAACTTTAGACGAGAGAAATAAATTAAATCAATAAAATGAGCCTTAAGGTACTCAAAATCTAGATAAAGATGATATATGTCTAGACCAAAAAAAAGATAATGTTAAAAAAATTAAATTTGATGATAAAATTTTAAAAAAACTAAAAAATATGAAAATTGATTGATCTATTATTTAAACATTAATAAACATACTTATTAATATTAATGACATATCATTTAATTTGTAAATTTAATTTTCAAATTAATCTCCAGCATTATTACTCGACCAAAAATTGTGTTCCGATTGAATGATGAAAATGCGTATGAAGAGTTCACATGAACTGTATACCCGTGATTACTTTAAAATGAAGGGGCTTTTTTATTTTTTTTATTTTTTAATCGAGTTAGGCAGGCAAATGGCTATTGACTAAATTATCCAGGCAGCTGTGACTATCTTAGATATATATATGTATATATATATATGTATATATATGTATATATGTATATATATGTATGTATATATATATATATGTATGTATATATATATATATGTATGTATATATATATATATGTATGTATATATATATATGTATGTATATATATATATGTATGTATATATATATATATATGTATGTATGTATATATATATGTATGTATATATATATATGTATGTTAACTGCGGCGAAATCCGATATTCATTTTATAAAAAGGAAAAAAGAAGAATGCGCCAGAGATGGTACTTTTCTACGGTCATCTGGGATCAGATCCAAAACCTGAACGATGGATATGGTGTTTTGTTAAAACATGATTACTATTTATCTAAATTAATTTACAGAGTTATACAGTCAGAAAAAGCGCCATAAATATTCCCCTGGCATATCTGGACAACAGAAAAATCTGGATTTCGTAGATTAACACAAGAAGATGAGAAACTAAATAAAATGTGCTCCGCCCGGATCTGGATATGCATGCTCTTCTACGTATTTCAGGTTAAATTTCTGATGAATCCTGCAGTCACAAAAACCTTCGCAAAGCACACTACAGGTCAGAAATATTTATAGATACATACATATAAATAAATGAAGTTTCATAAAGTTAAAAGAATAAATTGAAATAAAATATGACACAGGACAGTCAAATAGTATTGGAGCTCCCTTCAATCCAAGAAAGGAGAGGAGAAGGAATTCACATCTCCTGGGCCATGCAAACCCTTAAGCTGCGCAGTTTCCTTATCGTGCGCACCTCAGGGGCATCCATGAACCAGCAGCAGTGTAAAACCCTCTCTCCCTCCTGCTTTTGAATCAAAAGGAGCTCCCATTTACTCACACTTTTTACAGATCTACAAACTCCAACACCCCAATAGTAAACAAATACTAGAAGAGATAGGGGGGGACTCATGGGAGTAATGAGATAGAAAACCTATTTCTAGTTGTGAAGGAGGGTGGTAGTCTAAAGGGCCTTTAAATAGAGATGGGGGACTCATGGGAGTAATGGGAAAGAAACCCTAGGTGGTGAGAGAGGACCACAGGAGAGGACTGAGAAGTAAATATGGACATTGAAGGGGGGTCTGAAGAAAATCTGAGAGCTAGATTTTCTATTTATTAGTTTCTGACAAAGTTGGATGCATTGGGTTGGTTTTGGGGAGGCATTTTTCAGTATTACTATTATATTGGATGGTACAATACGTGTTTTTTAGAAATTATAGATTATGTGTATTAAAATATTAATAACAATTGCATAAAAACATGTAATGTACTATCTGTATTTTCTTCACAATTAAAAATTTCTCGATTTTGGAAACAGAGAATGGTAAATGGCAGACAAGGGCATCTTTCTACATTTCTCCTTTTGATAAAGGTAAGAAAAATCTGGCTCAGGGATTCAATAGATAATACTTTTAGCTATTCTGAAAGAGAAGGCCGATTCTAGCTTTACAAATAGATAATACTTTTAGTTTGAGATTTCTATCTCGTCATTGTTTATTTTTTAATTAAATCATTTTTTAGTATTTAAAGATTTTATAAAAAAAAAAAGAACCAACTAAATATAAAATCATGTAGCCATTTAACAGTTACTTAAATCAAATAAGCACTAAAATTTTGTCCGAGAAAGTTGAAATGCTTTTATGAGTCTTCTCAATTTCTAGAATGATGAACTACAATGACGAAACCACCAACTAATCATCTTTTTCAAAAAAAAAAAAATCAAATAAGCACAAAAATTTTGCCCAAGTAAATCGAATAGTTAAATATTTTTTTTTTTGGCAAATTTAATCTTTATAGGATGAATTAAAAAGTAACGTTGTTTTATACGTGCAACATTATAAATAAGAAATAGAGCCCAGTATATAGAACGAATAAGTCTGATTGAGAAGAAGATAAGTGGGATAAAAAATAAGTTAGCTTTTGCTAATGTGAATAATAGTAAATGGGTTAACAAAGCAAAGAATTAACGGAATCATAAATTTGGGGTTTGTTAAGCTATATATGTTAATTATGTGTTACGATTTTCTTAATTGATGTAAAATCTCTATAATTTAACGCTGCACAATGAAGCTGGTGGTGATATATAAAAGGTTTATTATATTGAAACTTCACATATTGTTAAATACATATCACATACTTAATACACTTCACATTTACTTTTTTAATTAAAACTTATCGTAATACTCTCATTTACTTTCCCATAATATCTTCACATCCCACATTCTTGAGTAATTTTTCCTTATGACCGGAACACGGGTTGTACATCATGTGTTTTTATAAATGGTGAGAAATTGTATTTTTTAAGTTATTAACTTTTTAACACACATATCTCACAATTTGTATAATGACACGTAATGTACCACATTGTGTTCCGGTCATAAGGAAAAATTACTCGAGAGTGTGGGATGTGAAGATATTATGGGAAAGCAAATGTGAGTGCATTACAATATGTTTTAATTAAAAAAGTAAATGTAAAGTATATTAAGTATGTGAGATGTATTTAACAATATATGAAGTTTTAATATAATAAGCATTTTATATATCACCACCAACTTCATTGTGCAGCGTTAAATTATAGAGATTTTACATCAATTAAGAATATCATAACACATAATTAACACCTATAGCTTAACAAACCCCAAATTTATGATTCCGTTAATTCTTTACTTTGTTAACCCATTTACTATGTTCCGGTCATAATGACGTGTCTTTATATATTATGATACCGCTTAAGCCAAAAAAATCACCAAAAATGAATTTTTTAGGATTAGTTAACGGGATGAATCTTTTGACTGTTAGAAGCGAAAAATCACAATTTAACGGCTACTTTAGCTCTGATTTTGATGATTTTTTACAACTACACTCCTCGATCCTAGAAGACTACAATGAACAAATCCGATCATCTATTTAAAATATTTTCGCTAGTGGTTACTACAAAATCTTATGTTTTACTTAATGGAGGTATAAAATAAACTCTAAATGTTTGTTGAATCTATTTATTTTGACAGGATACGCAGTCTATGAAACTAATTTGAACGATCCAACCATCAAACTTATCATATATACTCTGAGACCGCATACGCCACACCAAAAACAAATTTTCAAGGATTAGGTAACGGGACGAAATTTTTCAGCGGTTAGAAACGAAAAATCACAATGAAACGAACCTGATCATCCATGCAAATGATAGTTATATTGGTGGTTACCAAAAAAGCTTATGTTTTACTTAATGGAAGTACATAATAAACTTTGAGTGTTTGTTGAATCTATTGTTTTGACGGGATCCGCAATCTACGAAACTAATTTGAAAGGTCGAACCGGCAACTTGTGCATATACTCAAATATTGCATATGCCAAAAATCACCAAATTTTTTTTTTTCGAGGATTAGGTGAAGGGACAAATTCTCTCGATGGTTATAAATGAAAAATCACAATTTAACGATTATTTTAGCTGCGATTTTAATTTTTTTAAGGACGCTAATTGAGAGTAACCACATATTAAAGGGACCTGATAATCAAATTTGCTGATCTTTTAATCGTTTGAAACTAAATAAAAAAAATACGAAAAAAAATTTAAGTTTGCCTGACGAACTATGTTTACATTGTCGACTCTCCGAAGGTCAAATTTTTTTTATTATTCTTTTTGTGATTTTTAGTGTATGTGATCTTGGAGTATATGCAAACAAGTTTGCCGATTGGATCGTTCAAATTAGTTTCATAAACTGCGTATCCCGTCAAAACAATAGATTCAACAGACACTAAGAGTTTTTTTTGGACTTCCATTGAGTATGATGTAAGTTTTTTTGGTAACCACTACTATAAATGTTTTGCATTGATGATTAGGTTCGTTCATTGTATTTTTCTAAGATCGAGGAGTGTAGTTGTAAAGTAGTATCAAAATCGGAGTTAAAATAACTGGTTAATCGTGATTTTTCATTTCTAACCGTTGTATGTTCTTTTACAGGTTAGCGAGTTCCAACAAACATTGTTTAAGAGCAGCATGTAATTTGCTTTTAGAAGCTCATTATTTAAATAGCGGAGGTTAAACCTTAATGAATATTTTTAATTTATGTAATACCCTCATTGGTTTAATTTTTAATTTTTATTTATTATCCTTGTACATATATTTTCTCTATGTTAAAACATCTAAGACCTTTGCCGATGGAATGTTTCATCAAGCAAAGGTTTAGAAATTATGTCATGTGTTTCTAAACCCTAAAATTTCATCAGGCAAACTAAAACATTTTGTCGACCAAAGGTCACTTAAACATGTCAGGCCAGTTTAATTTTTGATGAAAAAATTTGTGGGAAATAAAGTTTGCCCAACAAATTTTATAGTATTTCGTTAAGCAAACCATTTTATTTGGTGGAAAATTTGACTTTTGGGCAAAAATGTGGGGATAATTGTGCATTTGACCGACGAAAAGACTTATACAGTGGATAAGAGAATAAGTACGCGATCTTGGTCTCCAGGGGGGAGGGGGAGGGGGGAGAGGGGGGGGGGGGTGTGCCGGTCAGTCGGAGAACCGACCAAAGAAAAACTTGACCGTCGTAGTATATGCAAAGACACTCCAACGATAAAAAACTTTCGAGGGGGTGTGCCGATCAAAGGTTTTTTGATGGTCAAGTTAGTAAGCGATATTAAGACTCAAGCAGTGGGCAAGAGAATAAGTATGCAGAGATTGTATTACTAGAGATGAACCCTAGAAGAATGTATTTATACCAGTTGAGGAGAAGACCTTTTTGGATAGTAGAATTCTTATGAAACCAGAAGAATCTCAGGTATATCTAGGAAGTATATATTGCATTATTTGAGGAGTGTGATTACGTGCAGCTCACACCAATCCTTAGTTTGTAAGGACGTTAAGATTATAAGAAACCTATTGATTTCCTATTGGATTAGGTTCCTGAATCTTGTGGAATAAGCATGGCCTATCTCAGCGAGATCGATGAACTTCGCCACCTGATTCGAGAACAAGATGATGGTGGCATCACCAATCCATTTAGTTAGCTCTGGAATGGAGGATGTTAAGTCTATGACGTGATTTCTAAGGTAGGCGTATTCCAATCCACCTTATTCTAGTCCTGGAAAAATCACGATCCCACAATTGTTCCTAAATAGACATTTGAAAACACTTGTTGTCCTTGAAGATGGGTAGTTACCTAGAGACCATGCCTCACAGAGTAAGTAGGAAAACGTACCGTTTTCTTCTACGCGTGGTGTCCTAGCTTTGTTTTTAGCAAAATTTTGGTGCTCGGGATTCAGACGTGCGGTCTCAAATATTGCAAAGAAGAGACAAAAATGATGAATGACATCATGATTAAGAAGACAAGGAATCAATAGAAATCAAGAGAATAAAAATCTCACCGAGACAAAAGAGATGGTAGGAGTTCAACCATGAAGGGTCGTCGGATGGAGTAGATTGGGCCCGGTCATTCGCCACTAACGCGATTAGAGTTCTTCTTTCAATGCGGCAAGAGTTTTTGGCTCTCTTGACTCTACTGAATTCTATTTAGATACATAGAATAAAAAACAATGTTGACACACTACTGAATTCTATTTAGATACATATAATAAAAAATATTGTTGACACATTCTATGAATTCTATTTAGATACATATAATAAAAAACATTGTTGACACATTCTATGAATTCTATTAAGATACATATAATAAAAAACATTGTTGACACATTCTATGAATTCTATTTAGATACATCTAATCTAACGGGAATTAATGACATATAAGATCACCCTCACTTTAAGGGGTGAACAAAAATGTACCCCTGATCAGTGGCGAAGCTACAGAGGCACAAGGAGGGGTTCCCGCC